GGGGGGGGGGGGTTGTGTGTCCCATGTGGCTTGATATTTATCTCAGCCTAGCTATTCATTAATGGGTCTGTAGCCTGCTGGCACAATGAGGAATTATAGGACAGAAGCAATCAATACACCCAGGCTCCAAATCTAGACTGTGTCTCATAGCTTCCTTGTGATGTGGTAGTTAGCCCCGGGACCTGATGCGGGTCTTTTTATATTATTAGTACAGTAAAAAACTAGATATGCTAAAACAAGAAACACAGTGAAACTGAGCATCTGCTGAAGCTTTTTAAATTGAAACAATTGAAACTTTAAACTTTCATGTAAATAGCCGGCAATGGCAGTATTCCTGATGTCATTCTAAGGTCTTCACTGCACTTTCAGCGAGTGAACATTCAGGGCCAAAGTTGTGCGGTTTGAAGTCGTCATCACTCATGAATGACAAAATTGCACTAAGCCTGTAAAAAAATACATTGAGTGAACAAACTTTAATTTATCAGTTCATTAAAAGTGCAATGTCACTACAATGTTTATTCCGAAATTTCAAAATGACAAATAGTGCAGATACTTTATCGAGAGGGAGCCAAGCCTAGAAGGGGCACAGAGTTGGATTCAGTAGGAAGAGTTTAAGGTTGAAAAATCGGGAAGTTGCTATCAATGTCTACAATAATGTTACTGATCATTAAACGTATCAGGAGCAGGGTACCAAAGCCGTGTCACAGAGGACCCATTCAGACTAATAGCAGGAGGGGGTTAAGTGTTTATGTATGAAAGTGTTTCTCAAAATGAGTTCCCTGTGAGGGGTTCGAGGATTAAGGTCAAAGAAAAGTGACAGTGATTTGCTAACAGCCCATCTCAACAACACAAATGTAATCTGGACATCTTGTAGTAGTCTACTCTATTAATGACCATGCTAATCTGTCCTTGGTATCTGAATAATCGTCGGTGTGCTCTTGTGGTAACGTAATTATCCTGGTGTTAAACAGGTGTCTGCCCAACTGGGCTAATCAGAAGTTCCTTGCACAGACCTCCAGTGAGCACGGAACCCACCCGTGACCATCTCCAATTTACAACTACAGTCCGTTTATGATACTGACGCTAACAAAGGCTGATATTCAATTAACTGACCTAATCAAGACAGATTGGCCAGAGATGGAGGGCTACAAGATATACTGTACTGCAAAAATTCTATTTTAACAAGCCCTTAGGTTCCATATTCAGCCATAGAAAACTGCTTTCTTTACACAAGGGGAAAGAGAAATGGTGTGAGAGCTTGAGTTAATTTAAATACCTTTTCACTTAGATAAAGGAATTTTAATTTGACAATGATCATTGATTGTGAAATGAGGGGGACTGTTCAACTGGTTTCTAGATGGTGTTGCATAATTTAAGGAAACTGTTGGCATTAATTTGGCAACAGGTTATGTAAGCTAAATGTCCAGGATAACGACTCAGATTTAATATCAAATAACACTTTCTTTGGTTGGTTGTTAGAATAAACAGCAGTAATAAACAGCTGTGCTGAATTACAGAGCTAAACTTTCTTTTGCATCCATTATTCACATTTATTCATCCAAGAATGTTTTGGCTTTTGTCTTGCTAATTGGTCCAATTCCCTATGATATGCAGTCATGGCCACTGCACATTTTACTGGGGAGAAGTTAAACAGCCATGCTCTTTGCTGCTTCTTTTTTACCCGACAGCAATGAGCTTCACCAAAACAGTGTAAGACAATCCCGCTATACCCCTGATCCCACTCTCTTTCATGCAGGTGCTCTGAATAACCAATAGAAGAAACAATGACAACCCAGCAACAAGGATGAGAACCCTCAACAGTTTCCAACCCGCCAAAACCCCAAACTAGGTATATTGGAAAAAGTCTCTCTTGTGCTGTGTTCACACAGCAGCAAAACAGCCGGCTTGTTCAAGCACTCGTTGAAGTGGTTATGTCGTTAAAAAAGCACTAACAGCATTCTTTAGATGGAGCTGAATAGGGTGAAACAAAAACATATGATTGGTTGAGTCTCCAAAGCATTGGAACGCTGAAAAAAAGTTGAAAGCAGTTCAACTTTTCATTGAAGCACCATGAGAGTTACAGCGAGCTCTGCGAAGAAACAAAGCCCAGGTTTCTGCAGCCATCTCATTTTGACTGAGAATTAAAGTGATATAGGAAAAAACATTTTTATCCACATATTCACATTTGAGAGCTTCCATTATATTTCTGCTGCTGACCAGTGGGAGGTAAGGTGTTTTGCTCAAAGGCACATTCACAGTAACTGTTACAGGAGGGGAGAAGGGCCAGTTTTGTAGCTCTGGGCCACCATTTAAAACAGATGTGTTGAACTGATTCGTGATCTTTCTCTCTCTCCTTCCACTGTCATCTTTAATGGCAAGAAAAACACAACCACCAGGAGTACGGTTTTGTACTTTACCTCGCTCTCAGCAGGATGGCGACGATGATGACGGAGATGAAGATGATGATGAGTAAGATGAAGGTGGTGATGACATGACCATCGTGGTGGCGATGACAACAAAAAATGATGCCGTCTACAATTTAGTTACGCAGCGCAGATCACTGCGGGAAGAGTAGAATAGAATTGAATAGAATTACATTTGCGGCATTATAATGGTAAAAACATGAGAATGGGTCCAATCTATTCACAGTCTATTTTGTTCTCTGCATATTGGCTGGCAAAGGTGCTAAAATAAATTTCCATCTTATGTTTATTACACAGTTGGCATGGCAACTAAAGGGCTTCGAAGAAATTTTCTATACACACATGCACACAAACACACAAACACACATATACACATATATATATATATATATATATATATATACACATGCACAGATGTAGATAAAAACAACCCTATTTGGAAGGTTACTTTTGCAAGTGAAATGTAGGAGGAAGTCATCTAAGCGAGAACAAAGCTTAATGTGAAAACCACCGCCGAAATTCAGCGCGTCTGTCCATGTGCGTTATTGTGAATGTGTAAAGGACAACAATGTCTCCTGCTGTACGGTTTGGCTGTACAGTCTATTTGGGTATTTACCACCATTCAATAGGCTCTCTATGTTTGTGACACAAAGACTACTGCTCCACCGTTTTTCAGAGGCAAGTTTTTCTACCAACAAGTCCCAGAGGTCCCTTGGTTCAAAATGAACTGGACAGATTAATGTCTTTGAAAAGGAGTTTTTAAAACAAAGTAGACTCAAACAAGAGTTTACCCGTCTATATATATATATTTACCTGTTGTTCAGTGGTAATGTCAAGCCCTGGCTACAAAAGTATACATTATCTAGCACACTTCTGTAACAGAAGCAGACCATCTCCACTGAATTAATGACCTCATCCACTATATAAAAATATTAATGCACATTTATGAAATAAAAAAAACTAGAAACTAAACTGATTACAAAAGAAGAAATGTCTGAATCTGTCTAACTCGGTTCAGCTAATTACATTGATCTATTTAGGATTATCGGTCATTTACTTAATTAATACAAAATAAAACAATATGTTACTAAATCAGCAAATAAGACTTGCCAGTTTTTCAGTTGGGCAATATTTGGGGCTCAATCAGTCACCTTCACCTGAAGACGTGTGCAGAATAATTACAAAATGTGGGAAAATGCAACCAGCACTGCAGGTCAAAGACCCAGTTGAAGTTACTTTGAAGTTTCATAATCACCAGCTGGATGCACACTTCATGCACAGAACTTGGTTGAAATTAGTAGTGTACTGTATATTTACCAGCTGAGCTCTTCTTATTGTAATGTTAATATCTCCGTGTTTATATTCATCAATGGATCTCGTAAGAGGGTTATTTCAGAGAAGAGTGCGGAGCCACAGCTTTGCCTCTCCATCTGCCCTCAAAAACATCCAGTGGCTGAAATCCCACAGTTTAAATATAGCTGCCTGACTATATCACATGGAAAACATATTTTCTTCCCAACTTTCCAAAAACTGAACAAGACTCAAAGAGTAAACAGAGGAAATCAAGGATCCATTGATGCATCTCAATCATATTAATAATTCCCTGGGGGAACCCCTGTAATGTATATCCCCTGTTTAAGGAAAGTAAGACTTTGTAGCTCCACTGACCTGCCGATGAGCAGGAACTCTCCGACCAGCCCCTGGCGTCTCATGGCCATGAGGATGTTGCGGACGGTCATGCCTTCACAGAAACACGCCACCACCCTGGCTTTAGGCAGGTGGCCCCTCAGTCTCTCCAGCAGCCGATCAAAGCTCTGCTCTCCAGCATTGCTCCAGATTTTACCTGAGATTAAAAAAAATGTCGGACAAATACAAACATGGTCTGTGACGGATGTGATGCGTTCTGATCTCGGTTGCTTCATGTGTTGTGAAGTGCTGAGTGTCTTTTGGGGTTTCTTTGTCACAGTGTTTCTATTTTATTGTGCTCAAGTGTCAGACACCCGATAGAACAATAGGCCGATCTTTATTGTTAAATACACGGTTTGTCTTCTTGTTTAGTAGATAAGTCTATAAGCTGTGAGGGCAGGTAAATGTATTTTAACTGCTGACACCATGGTGTAGTTGTTTGACAAAAAGTAAAATACTAAAGAACCCTTCCACCAACTGTACACCCACAAACATTCAATGCAGTTTCTAACTTGACTACAACCTTCTGTAGCGTTTGGTATTAAAATTGATTAATAGTGGTTGTCTTGACCCGAGTATCTTACCAGAGTGGGCGATACAGATGCCCTCCTTGGCTGCCATGTCCTTGAATGCTTCCATCCCACTTTCACCATAGTTTCCTGGAAAACCATACAAAAAGGGAAGGGTGAGGGAGATTTAAAGAATTCAGTTTTGTTTTAGAATTACTCAGAAAACAGTTTTGCAGCAGAGGAACATAGATGGATGTGCGTAAAGAAACGTAGATGTAAAGATAGACAAATGGATAAAGGGGCAATCTGTAGCCAATGAGCATTATTGATTCCATTAAAGGAACAAATGAACATGGATGGATGTGTAGATGGATAGAGACATATATACATGCATGCATATGCATAGGAATGACATAATGACAATAAACACAATTGATTTAATTCAGGTTTCGACTGACTTGTGCAAACCGAAAGAGGACATGTGCAATCATAAGTAGTCTAATTCTCCCTAATAGCCAATATTTGTTGGGTGGAAAAAATGACAGTGAAAGACCTGATCCCTTCTGATTTTCAAAAACATGCCAAAAACATGCCCACTGCCTCTTCTCATGAAAGCTCAAATTTATATCAGAGAAAGCATCTCCCCACTGTGGCACCCGTTTCTTTGCCAGAGAAAGTGGGTGACCTGGAATTTATGCTAATGAATGGTTGTACACACTGGCAAAGAATATGATAGGATTCCCCTCTTTAATTTCTCTTCCTCTCCCTTTGATCTCTTCCCCTACTCTGTGTTGACGGAAGAAAACATCTAAATGATCTCTTCCTCAACCTTCTTTTTGTTTTTTTAAACCAGTGTTTCGGTTTTCTCACTCAATGAGGTTGTTACATGTTCTAATGTTTCCTCCTTTTTACGGAGTATTGTATATTATCAACGATAGAATGCAGTCTAATTAGGCATTATTGATCTATGCTCTACTTAAATTGATGAGGCTAAATGAAGAGGTCAAAGGAGAAGAAGTGATAGAAATAGAGTGAGGGAAGGATAGACGGGGAATCATGGCACGAAAGGAAGGTACACAGAGAGAAAAAGGGGAAAGAGAGGGAGAGGAAATGTACACAGAAAGTGTCAGACATCCCACAATCCCTGACCGCTACTACATCTCAGTGTGTGTGTGTGTGTGTGTGTGTGTGTGTGTGTGTGTGTGTAGTCAGGCCAATGATGAGTGTGGTGGAGCGAAGTGTAAAGTCCTGTAATTAGTGTCTCAGTGAGAGGAGTGGGAGACAGATGGTACAGACCGTCCTTCCCCTGCACACATTGACACACTCACACACACTCGTGCACACACGCACACATTCCTACTGTTACCATCATCAAAATCGATAAAGCTTGTAACCTACTTCACTCTGGTCTCAAAAGGGATTTATGTGCGAGACATCTCTCTCTCTCACACACTCTCAAACACATGCACACTCGGTAAGCCTATCATGTGTCTCTTTATCACTCCAGTTCTGCCTCTCAATCTCTCTGACACACATGTCCTCCATGCTACTTTATAATACTAGCACACTCTCACACAGAAATACTAAAGCTCCCATCCCTACCAAATAAAAAAAACCACCCACAGACACACATTCATCAGTTTATCATCACTGTAGACCAAACAGAATAGGGAGTCAGTCTGTCCGCTCTTCCTCACTACTGAACCCCAAATAAACCTCATATGACCTCATATGTCATGCATGTCACGATGTATGTCATCTACGTCACTAATCATCAAATGGCTTCATCGGCTTTGACGTGGACTGTGAATAAATACAGTATACATGCAAAGCAGAGTGAAAATGAACACAGAGTCTGACAACCCCTTCAATTCCAGCTCTCTACGTTCAGTACAGCAGTTGATACCTGCAACTCCTGCTTACTTCAATTCACCGTGACCACTTTCTCCCTATTGCCTTAAATCGTGCCCTTCATTCATCAACACTATAGTCATGTAGCTCCGCGGTGACCGTCACATTTTGGAGGCAAACACCTCACATACAGTGCATGTAGTGGCTCGCTTTGTTTCATCTCCTCCGTCTGACAGAGACAACTGGGACATCCAGCACTGAGATTGCACATTCACAACGTCAATCTGTTTTCTTTTTAACCGTTTAACCCCTTTGTGCTTTAGTCCCTTTTCCCCTCTTGCTGGTTTCCTCTACAAAGCTGTGTCTATATAATCCCTGTATCTAAATCTATAATTTCAATGATAAACATAAAAAAGAACAAAAACAGCTTAAAGTACTTTTTTTTCAGAAAAGCATGAAAGATTAAAAAAAGAACAAAGATCCTTTCTCGCTCCTCTCATCTATGCCCCTCTGCCCTCTTCTTCTTTGATCTCTCCATCTCAACTTGTTATGCATCTGATATCTTGCAATAAATTACAACATGCAATCAAATGCAAAGCTGAAGTGTCTTCTGCTTGCCCTTCGTGGAGCTCCCTCTCCTCCTCCTCTAGCTACTTGCTTCATCTGCCCTCGCTTTCTGGTAGCAGTAAATCAGGCAGTACATTTTAAGACACAGAGACAGGTGCTTCTGTGTCTTTTCTCCCGATGTTTCCACCCCTCCACTCTCCTTCTCGCCCTTCCTCCATCCTTCTCAATTACCACCCTCAACCACTTGTCACTCTTATCAGGTCTATTACATGCAATTAAATGTTCTCTCCCTTTCCCCGCTCTCCCTTCCTTGTCCGTTTCTTCTTTCTAACACTCATTCACTCTGGTCACGGCTTCACCCAGAGAAAAACAACATGCACTAAAAAACGTAAACATTATGAAGTAAAGGGTATCCTCCCGCCCTCTCAGCCGCCTCCTGACAATCCCTCTCCTTTTCGTGTCCTCTCCAAGGTCTCCTCCATCCTCCTCACCACCGCATATCACATCTGGAGTGTCTCCAACAATGTGCAGCTGTGTCACAAACGCAGTAATACCCCAGGGCAGATGCTCACTGACACTCGCACTGTGTCAAACACAGAGTTAAACAAGATTACAGAATTACACGGCTAATGGAACACGCACGTAAACACAAATACATAACAGCATGCATCAGCACACATGCTGACTCAGACTCACGCTCTGTACAATGTATTTGTTTTTGCATCAGTCTACATTATTGAGGAAGTATGAAGTAAATGTAAAGGTGGTGACAGACATGCTATTCCTTGTAATGTTGCCACTTAATTTAGGAGTGCAGCTAACAATTATTTCCCTTATTGATTAATCTGTCAACTATTTTCTCGATTAATCGGTCAATCGTTTGGTCTAAAAAACGTCTAGAAGGAGCATGAAATGCCCATCACAGTTTCCTAAAGCCCAAATGATTGTCTTCAAATAACTTGTTTATTTCCCACGAGTCTATCCCGCCAAAATATTCAGGATACAATTATGTTGAACACAGAGAAGCAGAAAATGTCATACTCCGCGGTAAAAAACAGCGGTTGTATATTTTTTTTTCAATAATTTCAGATGAAATGTGCATGTGTGTTATCACATTATTTTGCAATGGAAGTAGCTCCAGGCTACAGACAGGATGCATAGCAGTTTTTTTTTAACCATAACAAACTCTACTTGCACCATGCTTTTATCCTACTGAGCAAACTCTGGAGCTAGAAATATACCACGGCTGTGCCCAGAAACCCGTCTTGTAAATGCAGACACATACAGAGAAACAAACGTAAACAAGTACACACAATCAGTGCACACTATTTGCACTGATGCATGCATGTGCTCCTATACATGGCGCAGGTATGGTTTAGTAAACTATTTCCCAGCACACATATCCTCCGGTAAAGCCTTTTAAAATGGGGTTTAAAATGGCAACATCTCAGATATTTTTCTCTCTTTATGACCTCACTAACATCTGTGCCAATCTGAAATCTCTATTTAAAACTCCCTCAGGACTGGCACACCATCTATCTTTCTTAACAGAAGCCAATAAAAGGATTCCCAGAACATGAGTTCTGCAATCGCAGCCTGAGTCAATTTGAGTAGATATAGTCCTCTGACCCAGGCTCATTAAAACACAAAGTTCTTGTTATATGGGGACCCAACAGAAACTGGCCCATGACCCACTTTGAATCTTCACCCCGAGGCTACACTGCCAGAGACAACAATAAATATGTGAGCATTTTCAGTCGGCATTCATTATACCTTACACTGCCCTCCCCAAACCTTCCCAGTTTCATCTTCCTCAATCCTGTGCAGCCGATGGCAGTAAAAAAGAAACAGGGCATGTCATGCTACAGAGACAGAGAGAGAGGGATGATGGGAAAGGAAACAGAGAAAACAGAGCAGGTGGAGATGAGTAAAAGGACAGAAGGGGAGCGAGAGTGAAGAGAAGGTTGGCATCTTAATTTATTGAGAGATTGATCAATTTTGGTTGGAGCGTGCTTGGGTGACACATGTCAATAAAACCGCTTCAGCCAAATTGAATTAAACTGAACATAGGGCACCGAGAGGGAGGCAGAGAGAAAGAGCAACACAGTGGTGGACGATCATGATTCTCTTCAGAGAAATACTAAATGAAGATTGAAAGCCAATTGCAACCAAGTGTGTGAATTATTATTAGTTCGTTTTATGATCAGTCTGACAACAGACCGTGACCAATATTGGACAGAATATCCGTACGAGCCATAATGGTGGTGGAATGAAAGTGGATGGTGGTGGATTAAAGAAGAATGTGCTGACAAAGGACAATTGTCAACACCTCCCTTCCCCTTCACAGCGCCGAGTGAAGCAGTTGAGCACCTTCAGCTACAGGCTGGTCTCCCCAAGGTGCTCTACAAAGACTTTATTCCAGGAACTGTTGGACTTTAGAGCTTCTCCTCTGTCTATTAAAGCATAGGCGTCAGTGTTTCTGCTTAAACTCCCACAGACATCAGCTCAGTGAAAATTCATATACAGTATGTAGTATTTGTTGTTACGCCTGTTCACATATGTTTGACGCAATTGACCTTTCAATTCCCTTGATGCTGTTTTCAAGTCTTGAATCACATTTTATGTAACACAGTTCATCTGAGTTGCTCTATGAACTGCACATTGACTATCCGTCAATCTATCTTTTGTGTCCGATTAGTCTGACGATACCAAACCAGGCCGAAGAGACTTCTTCGCTTTACAAATGGAACAGGAACTGAAGTAAAATCCACACGTTACATTCAGAAATTCAGACACGTATGACACATACTATTTACCAACGAGAAAGCACTACTCACGTTATTGCCCCCTCCAATCATATTATTTCATTATGTCGATGTAATTACTGTGCTGATATTACATGTATTATTCAGTTTCTTGCATATCGGTTTCTTTTGTCTGTAGCCTCCAGATGCAAAATGTTGATGCAGATAATTGATGAGCCCCCCCGCCCCCCCCCCCTCAATCTGCACACCCTCTCATATCTATCCCAAGTACTTGGTCTTCTGTGGTTTTCTGGCATCATTATCATTGCGTGCTTTTCCCAATTCTCTTCATCCCTTGTCCCTCAC